GCCAAATTATGGAAGCAGCCCAAGTGTCCATCAAAAGATGAATGGACAAAGAAGATGTAATATGTATATATGTATATGTATATGTGTGTGTGTGTGTGTGTGTGTATAGTGGAATATTATTCAACCGTAAAGAAGAATGAAATCTTGCCATTATGCAACAACATGGGGTTAAAGAATATAATGCAGGGTGAAATAAGCCAGTAAGAGAAAGAAAAATACCATATGATTTCACTCATATGTGGAATTTAAGAAACAAGCAAAGAAAAAAAAAAGGAGAGAGAGAAAAACCAAGAAACAGACTCTTAACTGTAGAGAACAAACTGATGGTGACCAGAAGGGAGGTGGGTGGGGGATGGGTGAAATAGGTGATGGGGATTAAGAGTACACTTATCTTGATGAGCACTGATATACAGAATTGTTGAATTACTATATTTCACACTTGGAAACTAATATAACAGTGTATATTAACTATACTGGAATTAAAAAAATTTTTTAAAAACCCCCTTTTTTTGTCAAATACCTAATTACCTTGGAGTAGCCCTGTAAGGTTTAAGAGTCCAACAAACCCAAGATTAACCCTCAAATCACGGAGGACCATAGAGCATATTTGTCATGAAGACAGTCAAAACCCTCTGCAAGGTCCCCTAATCTACCAGGATTATCAACCATGACGCCCATCTTCACTACACATTACTGACCTGTGTACTAGACAGGGTATGTGTATCTGAAGAAACTCAAAACAAGTCCTGGCCTTTGACGACTTTATGATATTGTGCAGAATTCTTTATTTAGTCAAACCTCAGCCCTGCAGAAAGTCAGCAAGCTACGCATGACAAAAGTAAGGGATCCTCATAGCTGTGGTCTGCAAAGAGAAAATGTACCACTGCTGTTGAGAACTGAGTTGGAATGAGACAGAGAGAAATTGGCAATCAAGCCAGAGAGCTGATGATTCTGCAATTAACAAAAGACTAAAATGCCTCAAAGAAACTTTTGCTTAGGGCAAAAATGTCTAGGTCACTGTTAGTCACTACGCCAGCAATTGTGAATTTTTACACTTAAACAGAATATCCGTAGAGACAGGGGGCTTGTGCTATATTAGCCTAATTCAATCTAAAACAGAATGTGATTAATCCTCACTAATCTTTCAGAAGGAAAGTATTGGTCTTCTCACATTTGTAACATCAACATTTAATGCTTCACTTTTTTTTTTTTAATCTTATGGGGAAAATTCTTCTTACTGATTTGGCATACTATTGATGAAGACAGAACATAATTGGGGGAGGTTAAAAAAAAGTGAGCAGAGAAAGAAAAATGTGTCAAATATTAAAGAACAGTATACCACTTGGTTTTTTTTTTATAAAAGAGTCTAGCTTTGGTAATCGTACAGCTACATGACAATAGTTATCATTGTGTAACAGTCAAATCTCATTAGTTTGGAGTTCAACAAGTAGGAGAAATAAAATCAATTTTCGGCACTGGTGTGAATAATCCAGTATGTCATTTTATCTGCACTGTAACAAAGACCGTGATAGGCCCTTTCTTCCTCAGCCAGGAAAGCTTTGAATAAGACAAGTTGATAGTGAGAATTAAATTATTCTGTTGTTTACTCTCCCCTCCTATTGGTAAACCATGATCATTATTCATAGATCTTCTTTCTTTTTCTGGCCATAGCACCTGATGGCTATACTTGTAATACAGAGCAGACAGACCTAAATATTTGTCATGAAGACAATCAAAACCTTTTCCTGTTGGCTGTGAAATGTTTTTGGCTTTGAAGAAGGTGTTATTAAGCTCATCAAATATATACAGCTAAGATGGTTTTTACCTGAAAAGAAACACAACTTTCTCTAAAGCAAATGAATATGGGAGTAAAATAAATATTTTCAGGGTGAGGGACCAGGAGAAAAAAGGGAAATGAGAAATAGAAGAGGAAAAAGAAAGGAAGAATACAGTGTCTTATGCAAGAGTTAAAGTTATCAAGATGTAAACACTTTTTAAATCCATCTTTCTAATTCACTTTACTCATGTAAATGGTTGTCATGAATTTCCAAATTCAACTGGAGACAAGTAAAGGAAAAATCAGAAGGCACTCAAGTACTGTGCTACAGTAGTCTTACGGGCACTTTTAATCTACTTACTCTTTGGGGGAAAGCCTTTTTCTGAAGCCAGAACATATAACGGGGCACCAGACAACAGAGGGAAGAATATGAAGATTTAAATACTATTCCCAATTCTATTCCTAATGCCCTGTCTGATCTTTAGCTTTCATTGATCCCTATGTTCACAAGTATCATTGAACTTGCTCCTCCAATAGATAGGATGGAATCCAGCTCCTGAGCAGGCCTTACAAGGCCCTTGGTAATCTAACACAACCAATCTTTCCATCTCCATCTCTTACCCCTGCCCTCATCCCACCCAGGGTAGTCCCCATTCCCTAAACACACCACCCTCTTCCTTTCAGATGGGCCATTCCCACTGCCTGGAATCCCCCTTTCCCCTCCCCCACACCTCCATGACCACATGACAGCCACCTGACACTCAAGTTTCCTTCAAATCCTGGATTGCCTTGGGGATGCTTTCTCCAAACTTCTAGGCCCATGTAACCCCATGTTCCAAAATGCAGGTTTATTATTATTCAGACAAGGAGATGATTGCCATTGAAAAGATCATTTGTTATTCACATTTCCCCAGGGGAGGAGGCAGGCAGTACCACACATGACCACCTGGGGAAGCACCACGGTCAGGAGGCAGAGGGAGTAAGGAGAAAATGTGGGTTAAAGCCTCGTATTTTGGTTTCTGCAGGAAAGGCAAGCCAAGACAAGGCAAGCCAGTTTAGGATTGGCGAGTTTGAACAATTTCAACAGGGGCTGGGGTGCAGGGGCTGTCTTTGGTTTTCTGGAGTCTGGCCCTGGAGTGATTAGGGCAGAGGAAAACTAGCCCTTGAGGGCGACTGCCCCACAGAGGAGGTGGTGGGGTGGGTCAGTTCTGGATCAGTTAGTTTGCTTGTGAAAGGTATGCTCCCTGGTGGGCAAGTTGTTTACTATCTCTAGGAATTGGCTAGCTCTGGGAAGTGTAGTCTTCTTGGAGTCAGCAAAGCCTCAAGATGTCAAAGCATCAGAATTATGGAAAATAAAAAGGCTTGATTAATAGGCCCCTTCCTGGTGTACTTTGTGTGATACCTTTGTAACATTTTGTACTCAAATTGTTTGTTCCTCAAGATCAGAGATCTCACCTTTGGAACTTGGATACACAAAGATCTAAAATTAAACAAGAAAAAAAAAATGAAGGCAGGTCATCCTTGATAGAGAACCAGAGATGAGTATTTTAAATAATCTCTTAATGTTGAATTTCCCAGAGTTTTCAAGATCACAAAGTTGAAATTGATGACTGCACTGGGAGTATTTATATATAAAGTCTATAGAGTCAGCCATCCATTGGCGGTCCAGTGCAGGTATGAGCAGCTCCAGCCAGGCCCAAATAAGCAGTCCTTAAGATTTCAGTGCCTTTGGGCCTACAGACTGGGTCCTCCATCATCTGTATGAGCTGAGCAGCACCTTATATTTATACTATTTCTTCAATATGGATTAAATCAATCATGACAGCAAATAGTATTCTTCCCTTAAATCATTCACTCAATCCCGCAAATGAACATCCTTTAGCCCACACTTGATTTTCACAAGAATAATAAACCAGGAGACAGAATGAGACGGAGACTCCTATTTTTCTGTGAAGATATTTCCCCTCTAAGAAACAAAATGGGAAAATATGCAAAGTAATTGCAGAATACATCTCTCTTAATGTCCTTGATTGTAGCCCATTCAGTAAGAACCCCAGAGAGCAGTGTGTGCCTCTGATAAGGGCCTGATTAGAGGAGAGCAATATACAATAAATGAGGCCTGAGGATTAGGGGAAATAGCAGGTTCCCGATACACGATGTCAACCAAAAGTAAGGAAGGATGGGGCAAAACAGATCAAGAAAGTCAGCAAGGGGAGAGAAAACAGAACCAGGACCAGTACATGGAAAAAAAGAAACGCATGTGCTAAATGATTGAGGTCATTCATTTAAGACCAACTTTCACTCCCTGTGATTGGCAACCAGAAAACACAGTCAACACTAAGTGAAATTCACTACTGCCATTGAACAAAATCTATAATAAAAAACAGCCAACTCCTCCTTTCTGCCAGTTACAACACCCTCCTCTTTCGGTCAAATGGAACCACTTAGGATTGTTGTAAGTGAGACAATGTATGTGAAAGCATCTAACATACTGAAGAGCAAATGGGGCTATTCAGTAAATGTTAGTGTTCCATTTCCTCCCCTGCATGCAATTTGGGAAAGGCTCCAAAGTTGTCCAGTACGTGGTCAATGGATAAGGGATACATTTATCCCACCAAAATTAAATTTCTTGGCTGGTGAGAAATGCAAGATTTTAGAGTAAGAAGGCCACAAAGGGACTCCATGTGTGGTCCTTTCCTACTATTACTCGCACTACCTGGCAATGTCCTTGGCTGTCCCTCACCGACAGCAGACAGCCTCTACCTTTCTCTTTGTGGCCAGAGGTTAGCGGGTGTATGTCCACCCACTTGGCAAATGTGGTGTTTCCTTTGTGTCTTAGCCAACCCAAACATGCCATTAATGGAAGACATCAGCTGAAGATTTTCAGTGTCCTGGCTCTTATCCCTTTACTTCTGCCTTACTATGTGGATCATGGGAGGGGAACCTCATTTCCCTTATTTTCTACCTTTAATTTCCTTTGAGCTTTCTTTTTTTTTCCCCCCCAGAGGAGCAATCACACAACTGAGATTTAGATGACTCTAGTGAATCCTCTTTAATTTCTCTCCAACACATTTTCACAATTCATACTCACGTGTCTTATACACAGTGGAGGATATCAAAACTGTTTTTACCTCCTGGAAATATGCCAAATTGTACAGAAACAAACAACTGTCCTAAAAGTAAAGAGGTCATCATAGAGCCACTGTGTCAGGTTGTACAAATCATGCCCTATCTGAGGCTTCCTGACTCAGGAGGTAAGTGGGGTTACAATCTAGCCCTTGTTCTGTTTGCTAAGCAATGCCCAGAAGAGGTGCATTTTCCTAATGTATGCAAAAGCACTGTATCAGACAGAGTGACTCTTCTCATGGCAACATTAATATAAAAGAAGAATTAAGTAAACATATGAAGCTTGGTGTTATGTAGCCAAATAGATAGCAATTTACATTTGCATTTTCTTCCACATTATCCCTATGGAAATTCATTTTCCATCCAAGTTATTTATTGCTTAATTTGAAAACAATAATCTAACCTAATAAAAATTTCTGGATTTAAAAGCTGAAATGGTATAAATAGCAAAATTCATCAAAATTAAAGAATTTCATTTCTGAAGTACAAATGCCTAAAGGTAGAAAGGCACCACCAAATTCTTCTCCCTAAAGGACAAAATTAATTAAGTACAAAAAAAGATTAGAGACCTGAAATGAATTCAAGCCCCACTATAATGTAATACAAAATACAAAATTCCTCTCCCACCCAACTGACTTATGGAGAATCTGAAAACATACTTTTTTTTAAAAGATCTATTTATTTATTTTAGAGAGTGAAGGTGTGGTGGGGAGGGCCAGAAGGAGAGGGACACTCTTTTTTTTTTTTTAAGATTGTATTTATTTGACAGAGAGAGAGCGTGCACAAGCAGGGGGAGCAGCAGGCAGAGGGAGAAGCAGGCTCCCTGCTGAGCAAGGATTCCCGATGCAGACTGGATCCCAGGGTCCTGGGATCATGACCTGAGCAGAAGGCAGACACTTAACCAAATGAGCCACCCAGGCGCCTGGGAGAGAGACAGTCTTAGGCAGACTCCACATGAGTGCAGAGCATGACAGGGGGCTCGATCTCATGACCCTGAAATCACAACCTGAGCTGAAACCAAGAGTTGGATGCTTAACCCACTGCAGCACCCAGGTGCCCCGAAAACATCCTCATTACTAACAGAAAAGACTTTCAATAAAACAGAAGATATTTTTGGCCACAGAACACTTCCCAACATTAAACTCCAGAATGGCCTACCCAAATATAATAAATTTGAAGCACAAAACACTCTGCTTAATAATAGGAAGAGATGATTAAAGAAACCAACCCCTACCTTCCAGGGATTAAAATCTTAAGTAGAAACAGACTTAAAACTCTAACATGACTATCATAGGGGTGTACGTGTGCTGCAATGGGAATGGGCAGAAAGGAAAAAGGCTGACCCTGAAGGGTCAGGAAAAGGTTTGGTGACATTTGAGCTGAGATACGAAGATGAGAGAATCTAAAGGAGGATTAACTTCTAAAGCTCAGTGGCCTGCAGTCACAGCCCACTCAGGAAAGGATAGTGTCTGTGTGGCACGCTGTGGTAAACTGAGGGTGCTGACTCCTGCTGGAGCAAGGGACCTGGCTAAGATAGGCTGCCCCCAGGAAGGAAGAGATCTGTAACTCAGTACATCTGTAAACCATCTTGGCCACACCAGGATGTCATGGAACACTTATGGACAAGTTCTGTAGAGTTTTGAGAGTAAATTGGTAATTCTCAGCCTCTGTAACACATTATAATCACCTGAGAGCTTTAAAAAAAAATCGATGCCATTTAAATCAAAATTTCTGGGGGAGCAGCTGTTTTGTTTTTTTATTTTTATTTTTTAAGATTTTATTTATTTATCTCAAAAGAGACGAGAGAGAGAGAGGCGGAGGGAGAAGCAGGCTCTCCGCTGAGCAGGGAGCCCAATGCGGGACTCGATCCCAGGACCCCGGGGATCATGACCTGAGCTGAAGGCAGACGCCCAACCAACTGAGCCACCCAGGCACCCCAGATAGTATCTATTTCTAAGCACAAAGGAGTAACGAGCTCCAGAATTACCCCTCCATTGTAAACAACTAGAAAACTAGATAAAACACAGAAACAACTATTTTCAGGCACTAGGCAGTAGAGGACTGTGATCCTTTAGAATAGGGTAAAAAATCAGGTGGTTCCTGCCATCACCCAGGATTTCTGACAATCTCTAGACTGCAGGACAGAAAAGGGGAATACAAGTAGAGCTTGAGAATCTTGCTGAGTTTAGGATTCAGAGGCAGGAAATTGGGGAGGACAAAGCAGCTAGAATTTGTAGGGCAGAGTCCCCAACAGGAGGAAGCTAAGCAGAAAAACAATTCTAAAAATCTGCATAGGGATCCCATGAGTTTTTTGCCAAATACAAATCTGTGCATGCAAGATTGAAATCCCCAGAAGCTAGGCAGAATAACTTCCAAAAAAAGAACAATTGCCCACTCTTTTACTTGTTCAACACTGTACTAAAGGTTCTAAACAGTGCAATTAGACAATAAAAAGAAATAACAAGCTTGCAGATTGTAAAGAAAGAAGTAAAACTCCTTATGTACACATGACACATAAAAACCCCTAAGGAATTTACCCAAAAAAGTCCTTACAACTTATAAGCAAGCTCAGAAAGTTCTCAAAATACAGAATCAATATACAAAAATTAACTGTATTTCTATATACTAGAAACAATTGAAAATGAAAAATTTTTAAATTCCGTTTATAATAGCATGCCAAATATGAAACACTTAGAAGTAAATTAAACAAAATATGTGCAAACCTGTATTCAAAAAACTACAAAAGATTCCTGAGAGAACATGACAAAGGACTAAGTAAATGGATACGTAGACCATATTTATGAATTAGAAGACTCAATGCTATTAAGATTCTCATTCTCTCCAAATTGAGTCATAGATTCAACAAAATCCCAACAGGTGTTTTTTTTTTTAATAAATCTGATTCTAAAATTACTTGGAAAAGAAAAGGACTTAAAATAGCCAAACAATTCAAAGTTGGATGACACAGTTTCTTATTTCAAGATTTCCTATAAAGCTACAACAATCAAAAGAATATCATACAGGCATTGAAGGACAGACCTACAAATCAATGCAACAGAATAGAGAATTCAGAAATAGACCCACACACAGGTGGCCAGTTGATTTTCAATAAAAATTAATATGCCAATTTAATTCAATGGGGAAAAGAAAGTCTTTTGAACAAATGTTGGGGAAGGAAAATGAACCTTGACCCTTACTTAAAGCAATACAGAAATTTAACTCAAAATGGACTACAGATCTAAATGTAATATTTAAAACTAATATTTAAACTTCTAGGAAAAAACAGAAAAATATCTTCATGATCTTGGGGTAGGCCAAGATTTCGATAAAACACAAAAGGCATGAACCGTAAAAGAAAAAACTGACAATGTCATCAAAATTTAAAACTTAAGCTCCTTGAAAAACATTTTTGAGGGCGCCTGGGTGGCTCAGTCGTTAAGCGTCTGCCTTCGGCTCAGGTCATGATCTCAGGGTCCTGGGATCGAGTCCCACATCAGGCTCCTTGCTCCGCGGGAAGCCTGCTTCTCCCTCTCCCACTCCCCCTGCTTGTGTTCCTGCTCTCGCTGTCTCTCTCTCTGTCAAAAAATAAATCAAGTCTTCAAAAAAAAAAAAAAACATTTTTGAGAAAATCAAAAGAAAATGAAATTCTCTCCCATGGATTTAGAGAAAATATTTGCAATATGAGTATCTGATAAAGAACTTAGATCAAAAATTCATATTAATTAGTTAGAACTCAGTAAGAAGGCAATACAATTTTTCTTTAAAAAAGGCAAAAAAATTGAACACTTTATAAAGGAAGCCATATGAATGGCCAACACACACATGAAAAGATATTCAACATCATTAGTCATCAGGTATATTCATCATGCCTTTTTATTCTGTTTTTGATGTCTTAATACTTTGGGTCCTTGCTGACTCTAATGGCAGTCATCCCTTGATCTGTTGGCCTTGCCATACCTAAATAACAATAAAACCTGTATTTTAAAACACAGGGAAATTCAAATTAGATGCTCAGTGAAGTGCCACTATATACCCACTGACATGATACAATGTTTAAAAGATAACAAGACCAAGTGTTGGTGAGGATGTAGAACAACTGGAATCCTCCTCATCCATTGCTGGTAAGATTGTGAAATGCTATCATCATTTTGGAAGGCTGTTTGATAGTTTCTCACAAAGTTAAACATACACTTACCGTAAGACCTGGCAATTCTATTCTTAAGTTTTTACTCAAGAGAAATTAAAATATATGTCCAAAGACTTGTACACAAATTTTTTCATAATAGCTAAAAACTAGAAATCGAATGTCCATTATCCACAGATGAATGGATAAACAAATTATGGCACACCCATAGTGATATGGAAGGATATGGAGTGAAAGTGAAATAGTACTCAGCAACTGAAAAATGCAACAGCATGGATGAATTATGCTAAGCAAAAAAGTAGGATGCCAAAGTATACATACCGGGGGTGCCTGGGTGGCTCAGTTGGTTGAGCATCTGACTCTTGATTTCAGCTTAAGTCATGATCTCAGGGTCCTGAGAACGAGCCCTTTCTTGGACTCAGCATGGAGTCTGCTTGTCCCTCTCCCTCCCCCAGCTTGTGTGTGCCCTCTCTCTAAAATAAATAAATAAAATCTTTTTAAAAACTATATATACCGTTAAGATTCCATTTCTATGTAACTCTAGAAAAAGTCAATTTAATCTACGCTGACAGAATGTCAGAGGTTACCTGGTGCTGGGGCAGGAAGAATCGACTGGGAAGGGGCACAAGGACAATTTTGGGGGCTGATAGAACTATTCTATACCTTGACTGTGGTGGTGATTGTATGAGTATATAAATGTGTCAAAACACAGTGAGATATAGACTTATATGGGCAGAATTTATTATATGTGAACTATACCTCAATGAAGTTGATTTTTTAAAAAGTAGTATCCTTGAAATAGAATCAAATTTTATGTCAGTCTAACTTATTATTCTTTTACCCATGATGAGGTAATATGTCTGATTATTCTGAAAATATCATGAAAAGATAATAAATTATATTTAGAAGCAATTACTGAGACCAGATGGTTTCCCGTTCTTCTAGGAGTTAAGACAATATTAACAATATTGCTTTATATGTCTA